TATGAGTATAATTTCCCAACATAGATCAATTTTCTCCACATTAGAATTCAACTCATTGCTCTGTCCTGATTCACTAACTTAACTAACTGCTTTCCACTTTCTAAATATTGTTCAAATATGGTAAACATAGAGATACCCCAAAACTTGGTCTGTGGTACCTGCTTATGCTATTTTCCCATTCTTTTCAAGTCACTCAATTCTGAAGATTTTTTATTGATAATAGATGCTTCTCTCTTACGATACACCCCTACCTACTACAGTTTGACCTCCCGCCACTTCTCCCAGCTCCCACTGCTACCTCCCCTCTCCCCTGACTTTAATTAGATTACATAGTCTTTCATCACCAACATTTATATTTCTATATTGTTCATTTATTACAGGCCTAAATATTCAACTGGTTTGTTTATTGTTTGTTTTGTTTTGGCACATCTTCTCAGATATACTGAAGCCAAATCAAAGTTAACAGCATTCAAAATAAGACTCTGGATGTTCTAAGACATGTCATTTTCCATATATTCAGGGTAGTCACTCATTACTGCACATCGTAATTGATTGGAGCAAAAAAATAGAGATTCTCAAATGAACAATACAATGAACATATCGGTGAACATAATTTCTCCTTTAAGAGTGTATGCGAAAGAACTTTATGTAGACATGCCAGCACCGGTCTAACATTCTTTCCTTGACCCATTTGTGAAGACTACCTTCTGCTCCACCTAGCTGCTACATCATTTCTCTATGCTATTTTACGCATGCTGAAAACACAACTCAGATCATGCTACTCACTAATCTGCTGAAATGGCATTGCACTAAGTCTGCCATTAAAAGGGGCAGAAAGTTTTGACATGTAGCACCCAACAGGATTCTCTCACTTCCAAATTGTGGAGGAGTATTTGACATTTACTCCTACACACACTGCTCACCTCAAACAGGAGCATAAATCTCAGTAATTTCCAATTACAACTACTTCAAGTACATCTCCACTTCAATGACTTTACATGACCCTTCATTTTATCAGAAGTAACTTTTCAAATATCTACATGTGTCTTTTCTCCATCCTGTAAAAGCTTTATAATTTTATTAGTAATTTTCTATATAAATTAGTAATCTATTTTCTTTACATAACCTCTTGTCCTCTTATGCTAATTTAATTTTCAAAGATTTTTGTCTTCGTTTTTTTCTTTTTTATACATTTTATTTAATTTTTTACACATATTACTCTCAGGTCCATTTCCCTCCTCTCCTGCCCTAGCCCCACTCCTCCCAACCCCCCATCCCACTCCATTTCCCTTCTGCTACACAGAGTCTGTCATATAATCCCAGTCAGGACTTAGGTCCTCCCCTATGTGTCCAGGCTGAAAGAGCATCCTCCATGTGGAATGGGCTCCCAGAATCCATTTGTACTCCAGGAATAATTATTGATCTACTCTACAAGGTCCCATGAATTGCTGAGGCCTCTTCTGTGACACCCAGGTTTGGGGTTGGGGGGGCAGTGTCTAGATCAGTTCCATGCTGGTCTCTCAGTCTTTAGTCTGGGGTTCATGTGTTCCCCCTTGTTTAGGTCACCTGCCTCTGTGGGTTTCACCAGTCTGGTCTTGATTCCTTTGCTCATCAGTCCTCTTTGAAACTAGGTTCCAGGGGTTCAGTTCGATTTTTAATTGTGGGTGTCTGCCTCTGCTTTTGTCAGCCACTGGATGAGGGTTCTAGGATGGCATATAAGGTCATCATCAGGGGAGGGCATTTAAAGTAGCCTTAATGCCAGTAGGTGTCATTTTTGTAGATCTAATAAGATATCACTAATGCCAGGTCTCTCCTCCAATATATAATGGCTCTCTCTATTGTGGTATCTCTCATCATTCTTCCCTTTATTCTTGCCCTGGCTTAACCTTCCTGCTCTCCTGTGCCCTCCTCTCCCCTCCTCTTCTCCCACTCTTTTTCTCCCATATCCCTCTCCCTTCCCTTCCCTTCCCCCTGCTCCCAATCCAATTAGGAAATCTCCTCACATTACCCTTCCCCTGGTTACCACACACATCTCTCTTAGGGTCCTCCCTCTTTCCCAGACCCTCTGGTGGTGGGATTGTAGGCTGGCAAGCCCTGCTCCACCTCTAAAATCCACATATGAGTGAGTACATACCATGTTTGTCTTTTTGTGACTGGGTTACCTCACTCAGGATGATGTCTTCTAATGCCATCCATTTACCTGAAAATATAAAGATTCAATATTTTTCAGCTGAGTAGAACTCTATTGTGTAGGTGTACCCCATTTTCTCTATCCACTCTTCAGTTGAGGGACATCTAGGTTGCTTCCAGGTTCTGGCTATTACAAGTAAAGCTGCTGTGAACATAGTTGAGCAAATGTTCTAATTGTATGAGTGTACATCTTTTAGTATATGCCTAAGAGTGGAATTGCTGGATCTTGTGGTGCACTGGCTTCCTTTATCCTGAGGAATCTCCATACTGATTTTCAAAGTGGTTGTAAGAGTTGGCACTCCCACTAGCAGTGGAGGAGTGTTCCCCTTTCTCCACATCCTCTCCAGCATAAATTGTCATTAGTAGTTTTGATTTTAGTCATTCTGATGGGATTGAGATGGTATCTCAGAGTTGATTTGATTTGAATTTCCCTGATGGATAAGGATGTTGAGCAATTTCTCAAGTGTCTCTCAGCTATTTTAGACTCCTCTATTGAGAATTCTCTATTTAGTTCTGTACCCCATTTTTTGATTGGAACCTTTGGTGTTTTGGAGAAGAGCTTCTTGAGTTCTTTGTAAATTTTGGAGATCAGCCCACTCTCAGATGTGGAGTTGGTGAATATCTTTTCCCATTCTATGGGTTGTCGTTTTGTCTTGTAGACTGTGTCCTTTGCTTTGCAGAAGCTTCTCAGTTTCAGGAGGTTCCATTTATTAATTGTCAATCTCAGTGTCTGTGATACTGGTATCATGTTCAGGAAGCAGTCTACTATAGCAATTCATTCAAGGGTTCTTCCTACTTTCTCTTCTAAGAGGTTCAGTACGGCTGGAGTGATGTTGAGGTCTTTGATCCATTTGGACTTAAGTTTTGTGCATGATGACTGATATGGATCTATCTGCTGTCTTTTACATGCCAGCATCCAGTTACTCCTGCACCATTTGTTGAAGATGCTTTCCCTTTTCACTGTACAGCTTTACCTTCTTTCTCAAAGATCAGGTGTTCAAAAGTGCATGGGTTGATATCAGGGTCTTCGATTCGATTCCATTGGTCTACCTATCTGTTTTTGTGCCAATACAAAGCTGTTTTCAGGACTATAGCTCTATTATAGGCCTTGAAATCAGGGATGGTTATGCCTCCTGATATGTACAATGGCACGGCCTTCAACCAGGTGGAAATCAAAGCAGAGATGATGGGTCACTACCTGGGCGAATTCTCCATCACCTACAAGGTGAAAGATGGCCAGCCTGGCATCGGTGCCATCCACTCCTACTTGGTCATGATGTGTTCTTGGGTTCAATTTGTGAGTATTTTATTGAGTATTTTTGCATCAATGTTCATGAGGGAGATTGGTCTGTAATCCCCTCTCTTGGTAGTGGCTTTGTGTAGTTTGAGTACTAACGTAATTCTAGCCTAGTAAAAAGACTTTGGCAGTGACCATTCTGCTTCTATTGTGTGGAACAATTTGAAGAATATTGGTATTAAATCTTTCTTGAATTTTTGGTAGAATTCTGTACTGAAGCCATTTGGTTCTGGACTTTTTTGGTTGGAAGACTTTTTATGGCCGCTCTATTTCTTTAGGGGTTATATCTCTGTTTAAATTGTTTATCTTTTCTTGATTTAATTTTGGTAAGTGATATCTACCCAGAAAATCATCTGTTTCATTAAATTTTCCAATTTAAGGGAGTACATATTTTCAAAGTGTGACCTGATGATTCTTTGGATTTCCCCAATGTCTGTCATTATTTTCCCATTTTCACTTCTGATTTTGTTAATTAGCATGTTCTTTCTGTCTTTTGCTTAGGTTGAATAAAGGTTTGTCTATCTTGTTGCTTTTTGAAAAACCAGCTCTTTGTTTCATTGATTCTTTGTATTGTTCTCTTTGTTTCTATTTATTGATTTGAGCTCTCAATTTGATTATTTCCTGACATCTACTCCTCCTGGGTAAGTTTGCTTCTTTTTGTTCTTGTTAATTCTCTAGTGTAGCAATTCTCGAGTTTCTTCATGTGGGCAATTAGTGCTATGAACTTTCTTCTTAGAACTGCTTTCAGAGTATCCCATAGGTTTGGGTATGTTGTGCCTTCATTTTCATTGAATTCTAGGAAGTCTTTGCGTTCTTTCTTTATTTCTTCCTTTAACCAGGGGTGACACAATTGAGCACTGTTCAATTTCCATGACTTGGTGGGGTTTCTGCAATTTGTGTTGGCATTGAATTCTAAATTTAAGCTGCAATGGTCTGACAAGATAAAGGGGGGTATCTTGTCAGACCAATTTTTTGGTATTTGTTGAAATTTGCTTTATTGCCAAGTATGTGGTCAACTTTAGTGAAGGTTCCATGTGGTGCTGAGAAGAAGGTATATTCTTTTTTATTTGGATGGAATGTTCTATAGATGTCTGTTAAACCCAATCAGGCCATAACTTCTGTTTGTTCCATTTTTTCTTTGTTAAGTTTTTGTCTGGTTGACCTATCCAGTGGTGATAGTAGGGTGCTGAAGTCTTCCATAACAAGTGTGTATGGTTTAATGTGTGATTTGAGTTCTAGTAATGTTTCTTTTATGAATGTGGGTGCCTTTGTATTTGGGGCATATATGTTCAGAATTGAGACTTCATCCTGATGGATTTTTCCTATGATGAATATGAAATGCTCTTCTACATCTCTTTTGATTAATTTTAGTTTGAAGAATATTTTGTTAGATATTAGGATAGCTACCCCCACTAGTTTCTTATGACCATTTGATTGGATCTTTTCCCAACCCTTTCCCTTTAGGTAATGTCTGTCTTTGAAGGTGAGGTGTGTTTTTTGTATGCAGCAGAAGGTTGGATTCTGTCTTCATATGCATTCTCCTAGCCTGTGTCTTTTTATAGGTGAGTTAAGACCACTGATATTCATGGATATTAATGAACATGGATTATTGATTCTTGTTTGTTTTGGATCCATTTTTGGTGGTGGTCTCAATGCTACACCAAAGTCTCCTGACTCTGAGATCAGGAGAAGTCTTTTCCAGGAAAGAGTGCAGTAGTTTATGCCATACAAAATGGTTAGTTCTAAAAGCATATACATACTATTAATATTATATAGACTGAGAAAGTTTATTATTTAGGAATATGTAACAACAAAAAAGACCATGAATTTGAAAGAGAGCAAGGAGAATTATACAGGAGCATTTGGATTGAGGAAAGAGAATGGAGAAATGTAATTACTTTAAAATCTCAAAACTGAAAGAAGTTTTAAAAATGGATGGCACTAGAAGAAAACATCCTGAGTGAGGTGTCCGAGTCACAGAAAGACAAAAATGTTATGTACTCTCTCATATATGGATTTTAGACATGGAGCAGTGCATTGCCATCTTACAATCAAACTGCCAGAGTGTCTGGGGTGCAGGGAGGACCCAAGGAGACATTATCATGGTAACCCAGAGAAGGGTTATAGGACGAGATCTCCTAATTGGACTGATGGGGGAGGAAAAGGGGAGGGCAGAAGGAGATGTGAGAAAGAGAGGGGGTAAAGAGGAGGGGAGAGGAGGACATGGGAGTGCAGGAAGGTTGAGCAAGGGTATGAATAGAAAAGAGAAGGGTGGGAGATACCATAAAAGAGGGAGCCATTATAAGTTGGGGGAGAGATCTGGCATGAGTGAGATCTTCACAGATCTACAAGAATGACACCAACTGGCACTAAGCCTACCTTAAATGCCTTCCCACAATAATGAGAATGATTTCTACCTTATATGCCATCCTAGAACTCTCATCCAGTGGCTGATGGAGGCAGAGACAGACAACTACAGCTGTGAACCAACTTAATTTCCTGGAACCCATTTGCAAAGAGGAGTGATGACCAAAGGAATCAAGATCAGGCTGGTGAAACCCATAGAGGCAGTTGACCTAAACAAGGGGGAACATATTTACCCCAGACTGATGACTAAGGGGCCATCATGGAACTGATACAGATATCACTCCCACCAAACCTGGGTGACAGAGAGGAGGTCTTGGGTATCTGTGGGACCTTAGATAGTAGAGCAGTATTTATTCTTGGCATGCAGATGGCCTTTGAGATCCCATTCTACATGGACCAATGCTCTCTCAGCCTGGACATATGGAGGAGGATCTAGGCCCTGCCTGGGATGATGTGACAGACTCTGAAAATCCCCCCATGGAAGCCTTTGTCCTCCCTGGGAAGTGGAGGGGCGATTGAGTGGTGGTGAAGTGTTAGGAGGATTGAAGGGTAGGGGAGAAGGTGAGGGAGAGGGAACTGAGGTTGACTTTTGTAAAAAGTTAAAGAAAAAAGAAAAAATATTTTGCTATATACACAATAGAATTGCATTGAGTCATAATGAATTGTATAATTATATAATTTGAAGAGCAGTGGATGGAACTAGGGATTTCCAAAGTAATATTAAGTTAAATAAACATTACTCAGCAAAACATATATGTGACATAGTTGCCTGTTTTCTTCAATACACAGAATTATTTAGCTAAATTTGGGCTTTCTGGTGGCAACAATAATAAATTGGGAAAGAACATACCAGGCAGCAAGAGTGCAGCTAAAGAACAGCAAAGCTAAACAGAAATATGTTTAATGCCAATGTGATGGTTCATAAGAGATGCTCACAGGAGACTGGAGTTCCTCATGCTTGCCCTCTCTCGGATCCCCTGACATGGGCACTACAGCCAGGTCAACTCACCCCTGGACTGATGACCAAGTAACCAGGAGCCTGCAGAGAGAACTGGTTCACTTCTGTCCACACTCATGGCAGAGGTCAGGGGTGAGCTCTGTGTCCCCATCTTAGACCTGAATTCCTCCAGCTCACCCTCCCTCAGATCCCCTGACTTGGGACTGCAGCCAGGTTGACTCCTGCATGGACTGAGTACCAAGGGACCAGGAACCTGCAGAAGGAGCTGGGCCACTTATGCCCACACTCAGGGCAAAGGACAGAGGAGAGGAAGAGGCTCTTTCCACACCCACTGGAAGAAGTGATGGTAAAGAGGCAATATAAGAACATACTCAGCAACAGAAAAACAAATATGACACCACCAGAGTCTAGAGATTCTACACCATCAAGACCTGATTACCCCAGTGCAGATGAAGCAGAAGGGAATGACCTTAAAAACAACTTCATGAAAATGATAGAGACCCTCAAAGAGGATGTGAGAAAATCCCTTAAAGAAATGGAAGAAAAAACAAACTAAAATGCAAGAAATAGAAAAGAAACAAACCAAAAAAATCCAACAAATGCAAGAAAGGGAGGAAAACACAAAGCAAAAAATACAAGAAACAATTCAAACAATGCAAGTGTTGAGAGCTGATGTTTGAATACAGAATGTATTCAAAGACAGAATCCATCATTCTGCTACATACAAGACACACACCTCAGCTTAAAAGATAGATGATACCTCAGAGTTAAGGGTAGGGAAAATATTTTCCAGACAATAAAAAAACATAGTCTGAAGGAATGCTGGAAACAGAAAAACTGTGGAAATGGTCAGGTATTACAGATGCAAGCATAACCAACAGAATACAAGATGGAAGAGAGAATCTCAGGTGTTGAAGACACACTAGGATAAATAGATTCATCGACAAAAGAAAATCTTGAGTTCAACAAATTCCTAACATAAAACATCTAGGAAATATGGAACAGTGTAAAAAGACCAACCTAAGAATAATAGGTATAGAAGAAGGTTAAGAAAATGATTTTAAAGGGGCAGAAAGCATATTCAACAAAATCATAGAAGAAAACTTTCCCAACCTGTAGAAAGAAATGCCAATGAATGTACAAGAAGCTTACAGAACCCGAAATAGAGTGGACCATAAAAAAAGCCCCCTTGGCACATAATAATCAAGACTCTAAGCATATAGAATAAAGAAATAATACTTAGAGCACCTAAGAAAAAAAGTCAAATAACATATAAAGGCAGCCCTATCAGAATTACACCTGACTTCTCCATGGAAACTCTGAAAGCCAGAAGGTCCCAGATAGATATTCTATTAACAGTAAGAGACCACAGATGCCAGCCAAGACTTTCAATCAATATAGATAGAGAAAACAAGATAGTCCATGACAAAAGCAGATTTAAACAATACATATCCACTAACTCAGCCTTACAAAAATTTCTAGAAGGAAAACTCCAATCTCACCAAGGAAATTAACTACAACCAAACAAACATAGGTGATAGGTAACCCCATTTTACTAACAGCCAAAATAGAAAAGGGGTGGAATTCTACACACAATTCCACCACCATCAACCACTTGAAAACAAACATGAATGATCAATCAAAGGTCATTAATATCCCTCAATATTAATGGTCTTAACTCGCCCATGAAAAGGCACAAGATAACAGAATGTATTCAAAGACAGAATCAATCATTCTGCTACATAAAAGAAACACACCTAAGCTTAAAAGATAGATGATACCTGAGAGTTAAGGGAAGGGAAAAGATTTTTCAGTCAAATGAACCCAAGAAACAAGCAGGGGTAACAATCATATTATCTAACAAACTAGACTTAAAACTGAAATCAATCAGAAGAGATGAAGAAGGTCATTTCATATTCATCATAGGAGAAATCCACCAAGATGAAGTCTTGATTCTGAACATCTATGCCCCAAATACAAAGGCATCCATATTCATAAAAGAAATATTACTAAAACTCAAACAACACATAAAACCTCACACACGTATAGTGGCAGACTTCAACACCCCACTTTCATCACTAAAAGGGAACACCAGACAGAAAATTAACAAACCAAGGAACTAATAGAAGTTATGACACAATTGGGTTTGACTGACATCTATAGAGCATCCATCCAAACACAAAAGAATATACTTACTTCTCAGTGCCACATGGAACCTTCTCAGAAATCAACCACATACTTAACAACATATCAAACCTCAACAGGTACAAAAAGTTGGAATAGCTCCATGTATCTTATCAGACCACCATGATTTAAGGTTAGAATTTAACAACAACACAAATTGCAGAAACCCTACAAACTCATGGAAATTGAATAATGTGCAATTGTTCCACTTCTGTGTCACAGAAGAAATAAAAAAGAAATTAAAGACTTCATGGAATTCAATGAGAATGAAGATACAACATACCCAAATCTATGGGACACTTTGAAAGCAGTGCTAAGAGGAAAGTTCATAGCACAAATTGTCCACATGAAGAAACTGGAGAATAGTCACACTAGAGATTTAAAAGCACAATTGAAAGCTCTAGAACAAAAAGAAGCAAACTCAACCATGAGGAGAAGATACCATGAAATAATCAAATTAAGGGCTGAAATCAATAAAGTAGAAACCAGGAAGATGATACAAAGCATCAATGTAATGAAGAGTTGGTTCTTTGAGAAAAACAACAAGAGAAACAAACCTTTATCCAAACTCACCAAATAGAATGAGAACATGCAAATTAACAAAATCAGAAATGAAAAGGGGGAGATAACAAAGGACACTGAGGAAATGTAGAGAATAATCAGGTCGTCCTTTGCAAACCAATTCTGCCAGAAATTAAAAGATCAGCTTATACCAATTCTCCTCGTAGTATTCTATGCAATAGAAGTGGAAGAGTCTTTGCCAAAGTCTGTTTATGAGGCTTCAATAACCTTGATACCCACACCACACAAAGACAAAACTAAGAAAGAGAAGTTCAGAGAAATATCCCTCATGAACACTGATGCAAAAATTCTCATTAAAGTATTGGCAAATTGGATCCAAGAACACATCAGAAAACTCATCCACCATAACCAAGTAGGTTTCATCCCAGGGATGCAGGAAATGGTTCAACGTATGAAAATCCATCAATGTAATCCACCATATAAACTAGTTGAGAAACAAAAATCACATGATCATCTCAATAAATGCTGGAAAATCCTTTGACAAAATCCAAGAAGCCTTCATGATAAAGGTCTTGGAGAGATCAAGAACAACAGGAACATACCTAAACATAATAAAAGCTATATACAGCAAACCAACAGCCAACATCAAACAAAATGGGGAGAATCTCAAAGCAATTCCTTTAAAATGAGGATCAAGACAAGACTGACCACTCTCTCCATACCTCTTAAATATTGTACTTGAAGTTCTACCCAGAGCAATAAGACAACAGAAGGAGATCAAGGGAATACAAATTGGAAAGAAGAGGTCATATTTGCAGATGATAAGATAGTTTACATAAGTGACCCGAAAAACTCTACCAGGGAACTCCTACAGCTGATAAATACCTTCAGCAAACTGGCAGGATACAAGATCAACTCAAGAAAATCAGTAGCACTACTATATACAGACGATAAAAGGACTGAGCAAGAAATCAGAGAAACATCACTCTTTACAATAGCCACAAACAACATAAAATACCTTGAGGTAACCCTAACCAAAAAAGTGAAAGACCTGTATCACAAGAACTTTGAGTCCTTAAAGAAAGAAATTAAGGAAGATACCAGAAAGTGGAAAGATCTCCCATGCCCTTGCATAGGTAGGATCAACATAGTAAAAATGGCAACCTTGCCAAAAGCGATGGTATCCCCATTGAAATCCCAGCACAATTCTTCACATACCTTGAAAGAACAGTTTTCAACTTCATATGGAAAAACAAAAGACCCGGGATAGCCAAAACCACACTGTCAAACAAGGCAATGTCCGGAAGCATCACCAGATTTCAAGCTCTATTATAGAGCTATTGTCCTGAAAAAAGCTTGGTATAGGCACAAAAATAGAGAGGTAGACCAATGGAATCGAATAGAAAACCGTGATATTAACCCACACACATATGAAACTTGGTTTTTGACAAAGAAGCCAAACTTATACAGTGGGATAAAAAGGCATATTCAACAAATGGTGCTGGCATAACTGGATGCTGGCATGTAGAAGACTCCAGATAGATCCATGCCTATCGCCACGCACAAAACTTAAGTCCAAATGGATTAAAGACTTCAACATAAATTCAGTTACACTGAACCTGATAGAAAAGAAAGTGGGAGGTACCTTTGAATGAATTGGTACAGGAGACTCCTTCCTGAGCATAACACTAGTAGCACAGACACTGTCAATTAATAAGTGGGACCTGTTGAAGCCAAGAAGCTTTTGTAAGGCAAAGGACACAGTCAACAAGACAAAAAGGCAGCCCACAGAATGGGAAAATATATTCACTAATCCCACATCTGACAGAATGCTGATATCCAAAATGTACAAAGAGCTCAAGAAGCAAGTCTACAAAGCACCTAAGGATCCAATTAAAAAGTGGGCTACAGAACTAAATAGAGAATTCTCAATAGAGACTAAAATGGCTGAGAGACTCTTAAGAAAGTGCTCAACAACGGCAAGGGGTGGGGGGCAGGGGGGCTGGGAAATAGAGAGGGGGAAATGAGGAAGAGAGAATAGGTCATGGGGGAGCAGGAAGGTTGACTGGGGGGGGGTAGGGTAGGGCAA